GTGTCTGAAAATGATGTTTGTTTGGGTGTGCAACTCACTAGTTCCGTCAGGTGACACTGTACCAAGAGCTCTGAATGAGCAAGCCTGATCCGTGTCGCACACTGGAAAACAGCCGTTACGTTCTCCGGCAAAGTTTGTTGCGTCGACAGCAGCCGCTTCCGTTCACGACAGTAATGACAGACCTGCACCAACAATGATGCGCAGCGGCATTAGCAACAGAAGCTAATTCATGTTCAGCAATAGCAGCATTGCAGGGCACTGTTGAGATGAATCATTACATAACAAATGGAGCCTGGTGGTGGCGTGATCTATCACAGTATATACAGCAGAGCTTCTGTGCAGCTTTCAACAGGTTAAATTTCAGACTTATAAAGACCTTTTTAGACCATATTCTGTCCGAGCCCGACCTACTAATCAGCTGTGGTTACCAGAACTTTACCGCAATAAATACTGTAGAACTTTATTACAGTAAAATAATTTTAGTACTGTTGAGTTAAAGCCATATTTTACTGTATAAATACAAGTTTTTACTATCAAAAGAAAATGTTTTGCCAAATAAAAAACATCATATGAATTCTACTTTATTCCCTGTGAATTCCTTTCTATAAATAAAGTTTTACTATGAGATATCAGTGTTTTACTGTTACAGAAACTTTAACCTATTTAGAGATTGACAGTTTTTTACTGTGAAAAACATGTAATAAGATTAAAATTACATTTCGTAAAAATTTGGATTATTAGTAGGAAAACAATTTTTAAAGTATATGAGTTTTTTTTTTTAAAGATTCACAGAGCAGAGGATTGTTGATGCTAAAAACCTTTCAAAGGTCACATTGTTCTGTTGTGTTATAGGATGCATCAATACTTGTTATTGACATTTCTTTTCTCTAGTAATGTTTCTGTTTACATCCTTAAGGTGACATTAGAGGTCATTCAGAACTATCTCTACCTCTGCTGACAGTTTCAGTTAAATGTGTATGTTGAGTCCATAAACAACCAGAGGCACCTTCCTACAGCTCAGTGTTTAACATTAACACAAAAGAACAAAAGCTGAAACAAAACATCCCCGTTTTATCAAGACAAAGTGATCATTACGACAGTTTATGCTTTACATAACATTAACTCATCTGCAGCCTTTAAATTCCCTTTATCTCTTTATCTGCAATGCTTATTCTTTATTACTCTCAATTATCAGACCCGAATATGAACAAATATGTTGTTAAGTTCCCCGCTTGCTGCTCTGCATGTGGCCACCTAATGTATAATAATAATAACTTTATTTATAGAAGCACCTTTTTAAAAACAGAGTTTACATATATATGTGTCTATGATACAGAAAATATAATTAAATATAAAAAGAATGAATACCAAAACATAATAATAAGTCTATAAAAAGAATGTATGCTGCTTCTGTTTCCAAGGTTTAGTGAAGGAGGGCGTCGTGTTAAACACCTGACAGCATCCTTGACTCTGATTGGGGAGTTTCACTTCCTGTTGTTGGGGGTCAGAGGTCACACTGGGTCAACTCTGTCCTTTTCAGAGGGATTAACCAGGCCTATCTGATCCTGGTTAATCCACACGCACCATCACTAGAGCATAAAGCTGTTATACACTCCAATCCTCTCTGTCCTTGCTTCATATCTGGGCTGCAGGTTTTCAGAGAGTCTCCACCGACGTCAGCGTGTCTGTGACCCTGAAACAGGGAACGTGGAAGTTTAAAGGAAGTTTAAAGGAAGAGAGAAATATGGTTCTGAGCTGATATCAATCTCATGTCTGTGTGTTAATTACAGTCGGGACGTGGTTAGCATAGCTTAGCATAAAGACTGGGAACAGGTAGAAACAGCTAGCCTTGCTCTGTCCAAAAATAAAGCTCCCCCTGGGGCTAAGTCAGCTAATGTTCAGAAGACAAAAAAAAGTTCACATCCACCCAACCACTACATGTTTTATGTCATTACCAAATTATAGGAGAAGCAACTAATAAAAAGGTGTAAAAAGGAAAGTATTTTGTTTGTTTTCTCTTCATAAATCACATTATTTCAATTAGTTTCACTCTCACAACCACTGGAATAAAGGGAAAATAAAGAATTTGACTCTGTTTTTTACAGATTTTGTCAAAATGACATAAAAGCAGTGGCAAGTGTCAGCAGAGATACGAGGTATAACCACCGTAAACCTCAATCTAATCTGAATCCCCTCTGATGTTCAGCAGTGTCCTGTGAGACATTATTTTTCTTTATTAGGATGACGAAGGCATCACACAGTTCTTAGAAATCAGGAATGCGTCACTCAAAATGTGTCTGTGGGTCAGTAACTCATTACTAGTAATAATATTACTTTCTCCAGTAACTATTAATGTAACTAATTACTATTAAACTTCAGTAATACCAAAAAATTACAAACAAACAAAAAATTACTAGTTACAAACTTACTTTCTTACTGATTGTCCACGACATTATCTTTACCTCTGTAACAGGCTCTGTGTTAAAACTAGAGTGAAGATATTGGTATCATATGAAACTAGACAACCTAACGCATCCATTGGTACCAACCATGTCATGCTATTATGTCAGGAAGGTGC